AATAGTTGTTTGTTCACCAGTTTTTTTTTAATGGGACAGAGAGGGACATTTCATTTGATTTGCACTTGCACAGGAACGGAGCAAGAATGGGGAAACCCGACTGCGGTGATGTTAAAACCTTGACTAAGACTAAGGCAGAAACAGACCTCTGTGAAGGTGGATACAAGGCACTGAAGATTGGCTATGAAAGCAGTTAGGACTGGAAACACTGGCTAGAGAAATATAAATTTCCAAGCATGACCTGAAGTGAGCGAAGTTCTATAAAGTACCTGTTGACTGATGTTGGCAATAATGGTACTATATTATTACTGAATACAATACAAACAGTTGCAGTTACAAAGCACAATAAAGAGCACCCACACGCACTCCTCGAAACTTAATACAGGATCTTCAGACCTGGAGGCAAACGGTATGACCTTATTATTCAACCTCTCCCACGTCCTGATCATCATCAGTTTGTACTTTTGCCGTTAAGCGGCGTAGAGGAAGAACAGTTTGTGTCTGTTGCTTGGTAGGTAGCAATGGCTAGTGTCATTCAGATTCGACGTGGAAGCTCTTTAATGCCATTTATCCATTTTCTTCTAGGGCAACCTCTTGCTTTCACATATGATCTTCTCATATATTGCGCATATGCTGGTAGTTGTTCTAAATGTACTCGTACAAGATGACCAAACCATTTGACTTTTTGTGTGTTAATGAGTTTGGTGCATGATGTTGTTTCCATAGTTTGTCTGAGTATCATTTCCCACTTTGTCTAGGATGGTAAAGTTCAGGACGTTCTTCGAGACTATAATATCAATGATATATTTTTTTTTCTAGCTAGATTAACCTTTGATAATGTTCACGTTTGGTACTTCATGTCTGTAATTAATATACAGTTGATAGAATACATTTATAAATGAGCCAGTGGCAGCTGTTGAGTATAAATAATGTCACACCCAGTAAGCTTTACAGACGCATCACGGGGAGAATTCTTTCCCTTGGAGCTTCTACGGTAGGTGGCGCTGGGGCTTCAATGCTGAGGACTCCGTCTAAAGCCAAAGTAGATTTTAAAGTGAGTGGATCTATCTTCTGAGGCAGGACATATTGACGGCTGTACTCGCGATAGACCTGCAATACAGAAAAAGGTCAAAGTTCTTATAGCACATACTACTGTTGGTATGTGGAGAATAAGGTCGTCATATATTGATCGTTGCCGTTGTCATCATTTTCATCATTATCATCATTATTACTGCCTTTATCGTCGTTATTATCATCACTGTCATCAGCATCATCATCATCATCATTGATATTATCACTTTTTAGGGGGCTTGCCTACTGGCATGTAGGCTAATGATGCCTTTTACGATGTCAAACAGATGTAAATCCTAATCTGATTAACGGACGTGAATCAGGGATAGTTGGCCAAATAGGAAATCAATAATTGAAAGCTGCGAAGATGTGATTTTATAAACACCTTATGAGAACACTAGGGACACATAAAAAAAAAGTAATGAAGATGTCTTAAAAGAAACTCACAAAGAGAACCGATTTCATAGTCAGAAAGAGACAATCTGCTTTATTTGGTCAAGACAAGAAAATTAGAAAACTGAAGTTTCGTTTATCCTTTAGTTTAGTTTATTAGACGGATCAGCATCTAGCACACGGGTGTAACCCATAAGTGCTCCGTTCTACTTCTAACTCAAGCCTGAGTCTGAAGAATTTCAGCGCAGTGCACGAACTCCGTTGCACAGGCGGGAATCCTGAAATACTTTGGGTATATTTTTAACTTCAAAATTTTCCCAGGCAGCGTCATTAGGTTACTCTTTTCGATTTCTAAATGCAAAGAGATTTTTTACGCACGCAACAATACACACGGGCGTCCGATCTAACTACCTAAAGACCAGGGAAAATTATTAGAAGTCCAGCCTTCACCAAGGCTTCCATCTGGGACCTCCAGCGGACACCATTGTGTCCTCTTGTGCCCTTATATGTTACATAGGCCTCGCAGTTTATTTCTCGATTCCGTTTTACCCTGTGCAGTCACTTCCATATCGTGGATGAAATCCTGTCCCGCACCTTTGGCTTTTCTCATCAACATTCGCCTTAGGGTTTCTCGTGGACGTACCCCTCTCTTAATATTATAGTCCTATCGTGACATAGCGGCTAGACACTCGCGTGCGGATCGGAAGGTCGTGGGTTCGCTACCTGGCGGAGCCGGATAAAAAAAAATGACCTAGACTCCCAGCTCGACCCAGCCTTGAGTGGGTACCGGGTGCAGTCCCGAGAAGTAAAGGCGGCCGGAGGGATGCTAACCACATCACCCATATTGTGCCGATTGGTCTATAAAAATATAGGTCTAGCCCTATATGCCCTATACGTCTAAAGGCGTGGATAGGAGAGATCCTTTACTTTTTTTACTTCGTTTTTTTCGTGTGTACATTTGGTTCTCAAACCAGCGTAAGGGGTATGGAGACTGCCTTGACCTCCATTCTATAAATCTGTAGAGATAATCACATCACCTGGGCGAGAATTGTCATGAATCGTTTGTTGAACTTCAGTAGCCCCCTCTGGCCAGTCACTGTACTCCTGGTCCAGTGTGTTTAGAACCCTACACATGTCTGAGTATTTCTCAGACACCTTGAACCACTCCTCCTCTTGCCCAATATTACCAAGCCTGGGCACACGTTTAATTGCGTCTTCAGCTTGCGCCATCAAAGATCCTCTTACTTTAAAAGCTTGCCATATCTTTCAATGTGACCGAAAAACTGGCGAAGAATGAGAACAGAAAATAATTATAAATATGTCTATTATGTTAAGAGACAAACTAACACTAGTAGCAAGGACTGATCGATGAACTAGCACGAGTACGAGAATTTGTAATCAGCTAACACTGGTAGCAAGAACTTATTAGATCAACTAGCACTGCTAACAAGAACTGATAGATTGGCTAACACTGTTAGCAAGAACTTGATCGACCAACTAACACTTGTAGCAAGAACTTGATTGATCAACTAACACTTGTAGCAATAATTGATAGATTGGCTAACACTGTTACCAAAAACTTGATCGACCAACTAACACTTGTAGCAAGAACTTGATTGATCAACTAGCAGTGGTAGCAATAATTGATAGATTGGCTAACACTGTTACCAAGAACTTGATCGACCAACTAACACTTGTAGCAAGAACTTGATTGATCAACTAGCACTGGTAGCAATAATTGATAGAATGGCTAACACTGTTACCAAGAACTTGATAAATCAACTAAGACTGGTAACAAAAAAATTGATTTATCAAGAACTTCATAGATCAACTAACACTGGTAGCAAGAAATTGATAATCGACTAACACTGGTAGCAAGAAATTGATAATGAACTTTTGGTGGTAGCAAGAAACTGATAGATCAACTAGCACTGGGAGCAAGAACTTGTTATATCAGCTAACACTGGTAGCGAGAGCTTGACTGATCAAATAACACTAGTAGCGAGAGCTTGACTGATCAACTAACACTAGTAGCGAGAGCTTGACTGATCACCTAACACTGGTAGCGAGAGCTTGACTGACTAACAATGGTAACAGTAGTAGCGAAAACTCGATAGATCAACTAATACTCAAGTAGCAGGAACCATTATGTGACTATTCTCACCTTTCTGCCAGGAGACTCCTCTGTATGTTTGGCATGCACCATCAGCTTGTTGTCCACCGTTTTCACTGAGATCTCCTCTGGTTTAAAATCTTTACAGTCGAACCTGAACACAAACAGACTGGCTGAATTTTTCAGTTGAGTTAAAACATTTTTTTTTTTCCACTTCAGGGGCGCAAATACATTCAATCCTAGTCATATTTAACAATATGCCGGCCGCCTCTACCAGTTTTATATGTGACTCCCGGTCAAAATAGAATATAGACAAGTTTACTGTTTTTTTTTTTTTGGTTGTTGTTTTTTTTTTTTTTTTGTTTAGTCGTGACAAGTTTTTGTCTCTGACTATAGCTGGCCGATGACTTTTCTTGATATTTCGACTGAAAAGATGCAGTTTCGTCCCCACCTACAGAACTGAGTGCGTGGCGAGATTCTATGAGGTTCAGATTTAATTTGGAATGCTTTTCTAACTATGTCCAAAGTGGTTTGTTCTGTGAACTGTAGATTCAGTAAATAGTGTGTCCAGTTGTCGCAGAACTGGTGGTACATTTATGTGATTAATCAACTACTAATCTGCTGTAACTGCTGCTTCCATTAAATATGAACTGCATTTCTAGCGTCAGACTATTTGTGTTAGCACTTCTGACTGCTGCCTTATGCATTTAATGCGTGTGTATGCTATTAAATTTGCCAAGACTGTGGTCTGTGTCAATTTTTTCTCCAGGAGCAGTGATGGATATTGTGTGCGGTTTTCGCTGGTATGGGAATGGAGCAGTTATGGCGTGACCCGTTTTCTATGAAGCTGCACCTGAGATTACCTAATTACCCTACTACATGTGCCTTTTGTATAAACTTTAATTTTGCACAGCAAGCATTAAATTAAAAAAAAAAAATATACAATCTCTTTCCCTGGAAATTAGATTTGATCTGTTGGCAATATCTCAAAAGGTTATTCTCGCCTGTGGGCGTGTGTGAGTATGTGTGTGTGTATATATATGTTCAGCAGCATCATCAATGTACACCAAAGATTACACAGCAGTACAGATATGCCGTGTTCAATCATGATCTAGATACACATTAATGTACCTCTCCCCACAAAGGACAGCGCATTGCCGATCACCAACATGACTCTCCTTTCTGGGTTTGCAAAAGTAAAATAGTAAAGCATGTAAATTAGTGTAAACGTAATAAAGTAAATAAAGTGAATTTAACGTAAGCAAAGAGAGAAAACTAAGTAATTAGGTAAATTAGGTTAAGAGAGTAAAAACAATAATTAAGTAAAGTGAGTTAAGAGAGTAAAGTAAGTAAAGACCGTAAAGTAGGTAATTAACACAGTTAAGAGAGTAAAGTAAGTAACTGAGTAGAATAGGTAAAGAGAGTAAAGTAAATAATTATGTAAAGTAAGTAAAGAGTAAAGTAAGTAGTTATGAAAAGTAAGTAAAGAGAGTAAAGTAACTAATAAAGTAGAATAGGTAAAGAAAGTAAGTAAAGACAGTAAAAAAAAGTAAGTAATTAGGTAAAGTAATTAAAGAGAGTAAAGTAAGTAATTAGGTAAAGTAAGTAAAGATAATAAAGTAAGCAAACAGAGTAAAGTAATTAAGTAAAGTAAGTAAAGATAGGAATGTAAGGGAAGAGAGTAAAGTAAGTAATTAAGTAGAATAAGTGAAGAGAGTAAAGTTAGTAAAGACCGTAAGGTAAGTAAGTAATAAAGTAAGTAAAGAGAGTAAAGTAAGTAATAAGTTAAAGTAAGTAAAGATAGTAAAGTATGTAAAGAGAGTAAAGTAAGTAATAAGGTAAAGTAAGTGAAGATAGTAAAGAAAGTAAAGAGATAATAAAGTAAGTAATTAAGTAGAATAAGTAAAGAGAGTAAAGTAAGTAAAGACCGTAAAGTAAGTAAGTAATTAAGTAAAGTAAGTAAAGTGACTAAAGTAAGTAATTTGGTAAAGTAAGTAAAGATAGTAAAGTAAGTAATTAGGTAAAGTAATTAATTAAGTAAAGTAAGTAAACAAGTAAAGTAAGTAAAGATCGTAAAGTAAGTAAAGATAGTAAAGTAAGTAAATAGAGTAGAGTGAGTAATTAAGTAGAATAAGCAAAGAAAGTAAAGTAAGTAAAGACCGTAAAGTAAATAAGTAATTAAGGAAAGTAAGTAAAGAGAGTAAAGTAAGTAATTAGGTAAAGTAAGTAAAGATAGTAAAGTAAGTAATTAGGTAAAGTGAGTAATTAAGTAAAGTAAGTAAAGATCGTAAAGTAAGTAAAGATAGTAAAGTAAGAGAGTAAAGTAAGTAAAATATGATAAGTAAACTGAGTAATTGAGTAGAATAAGTAGAGAGAGAGTAATGTAAGTAAAATAATATAAGTAAACTAAGTAAAGTGAATAAAGTCAGTGTTAGAGCTATTTTGTTTTATAGTCTAATCGACGACTGACTGTCTTAATTTTGCAGGACATTTCATTGTACAAAATTTAGACTGAATCCACCTGAAAGCCCTAGTTTAGGAACATAGATTTGTCTCGACGACTGTTAGAACTCAAGACTTTAGGTCAGTAGGTGGGCATTTAACCACTGCACCACTGCGACTGCCAGAATAAACAGAAAAGCGCAAGAGAGCTCCCTTGGAGAAACAAAGTCCTTTGGCACCAGGTTGACAGAATAGTCTCTAAAAAAACTTCTCTTACAAGGATGTACGTCATTTTATGGAGCCAGACAACAGGAAAGACAAGGCATCAGAAATAAAGCATCATTAACATCATCAGTAACCAGAAAATCACTGACCACTGCCACCATTTTAAAATGTTTGTTAAAACATACTGAGAGCTAATAGACTACAATTGCTAACGTTGTTAGCGCATATAGAGAGAATGGCCGACAGAAAGACAAACAACGCGTACACCGTTGGGTTGAATGGAAGGTAGACCAAGAAAACTAGAAAAATATAATACAGGGAGGCTTCTAGAGGCCTCAGCTGGAAAGAAAATAGCAATCATAGAGATATGCTGAGGCAGATGACACCTGCAGCTATGAATCCTGAGTGTGACACCTGCAGCTATGGATCCTGACTGCTCGGAATGCTGAAGAAAAACCGGGAAAAGTGTAAATCAGTATTACAGTATCAGAGCTCTATAGGACTGTTTCTGATATACCCAACTGAATCACATAATTGGGAAATTTGATAAACGTTCAACAGAGAAACACAGTTAACCCAGTTTTTTTTTTTATATAGTAAAGACACTGGGAAAGGTTTCATTTGATTACACCTAGTAGTCTTGTACCGACACACACACACACAAACACACAAACACACATGCACACACAAACACACACACACACACATTGTAAAGAGAAATCGGGAGAGGGGGCGGATCTCGGCGCCTCTAAAATGTTGTAGGAAGTGGGATTCTGCGTGCTCAGTGGGCCTAAAATTTGAGTGCTTAAAAACAATTATATGCTAAAGTGTAAAACCAAAATAATAGTATAATTCAACGCCAGTCTAAAATGTCCCTTATTCCCCCCCTCCCCACCCCCACTCTACCAACTCCCTAACCAACCCAAACCCGCTGGTTTCAATGCCTCGCTTGTTGTCTAACTGGAACAGAAATATAATCAGCAAGCATACAAACACTGACAAGTCGCTAACCTCAGAGAAAGCCTTTTATTTCCCTCCTCGTCTGAAACAATAGGACGGTCCGGCTTGAGATAGGAGGAGCCGGCGTCGCTAAAGTCCGGGGCTGTCAGGGTGAACATCTCATTGCGAATCCGTTCTAGCTCTCTGTCGAACTCTGAAAACTCGCTGTCATCTCTCTTGGCCAAAGTGCTGAAGACTTGCCTTTGCCGGTCAAAGAAGCTCCAGTTTTCGCGCTGAATGGGGATAAGCCTTTCCATGTCGAACTTCTGAAAATAGTTGCCGGAAAACCAACCTTTTCATAACAGATGTTACATTTTGTGTATACATACACACACACACGCGCGCGCCCATTCAAACACACATAGATGTGTGTGCATGCATATACATGCATTGCGAAGCTTCAGTATAACTGTGCCATAGGGTTATACTGGGTCACACTGGACAATGGAGGGTGGAAGAGTTCCTCCTAAGGAAATCCTTTGTAGTGAGTTAAAAACGTGTAGAAGATGCCGAGGCTGACCTCTACTACGATATAAAGATGTCTGCAAGAGGACATGAATGATACAGGTATTGAGGTGTGCTCGTGGGAATAAAATGCTATGCATTTGAGAGTCCGTTACAGTTTTATGAAATTTTTTTTTTTTTTAAAGGTTTTATTGTGAACTTTATTATTACATTCGTGTGTGTCTCACAAGATGGTGCAGGTATACATGCTCTCGGACCTAGATCCTTGGTGTTGAGGATCAACACTCACTTCTGCTCTACATCACAGCTAGACCACCCAGCATAATTTCTCCACAGTCTGCCTCTTCGGCCGCTGACTTGTCTAATTCCCACGATGTTCTCTATTGCCTATCATTCAAATTACATTAAGGGAAAAAAAAAAACACTTCCTAAATTATAACATTCTCCGGAAAAGTTTTGCTGTGTCTAACTAGACATCAGCAAGCAAAACTAATGTTTACATATCTAGGAGTTCACTGAGTTGTTGTGAGCCAATAAAACCGGTTGTTTCCCCGCCTAGGAGTTCATAAACTTATTTTGAACTAGATATTAGTAGTGATATTCAGTACCTCGTGTCTCGAAGTTCACAGAATAGTTGTGAACTGGACATCACCAGTAAATAGCAAAATTTTCTTGTTTTTGGATTTAAAAAAGTTGTGCTGTCAACTGAACATCACCAGTTTAAAAAAAAAAAAGCGGCGTTTCCTCGTCTACAAACCTACAGTGGTGTAAAATGGCCTCACCAGATTAGAGTTGTGCCCCCTGTCTATGACTAGTTCTCTGCATCCATAATTAAAGTTAGTTGCGTGTCCTTGACAGGACGTTGCAGAACCAACCCCAGCATTTTTTTTAGCTGTTGTGGTTTTTCTAGGCAAATTGACGTCCAGTAGTTTTCCATTGATTTCTGGATGGTCAGCTTCTCTATTCCACTGTCGAAACCAACACAAGGCGCAAGGCCCGCAGCTGGGATCGAACCCTGCACTCTGGCATTACGAATCGCGTTCGCAACGACTAAGCCACTGACGCCGCCTATCCATGATTACTCAAGTAAATTCTCCCCTGTTGTGTGCGTTATTCTTCCATGATAAGAGACATTCTTTTTCTTCTTCTCCTACTCATTTTCTTCCTACTTCTCGTCCGTCTCCCCTTTTTCTTTTTCATCTTCTTCTTAGCGTTTATCGGCTGTCAACTCCGGTGGAAAATTGTGTTTGTTCGCCCACTCCTGGACTTTGGTCTTTGGCAGCAGCAGTAGAAGCAGGAATAATAGTACTAATACCTGACAAGCTATGCACTAACGTACTTGGGAAGAAATATGGACAGAGCAGATACGCTCAGTGCTGTTCGGACTGACGAATCTAGGACATTAACACGACTGTGTGACGTGGGAGTAAACCTTGGTGAAGCTCGTCTATGCCGCCTTCGAGGCTGAAATAAGAGACATTATAACCAGCTTCTCAAGGGAACAATTAATAGAAGCACCTTGGAGAGGTGGTTGCGTCAGAGAATAAAAACCCATGGGAATGCCCAATGTACAATGACGTCGATAGTGATAACATAGGTCTTGATCTAGAAGAGTTTTGCGGAAACATCCGTTTTTCGGATGTAACTTATTATGTGGCTTATTTATAAGCAAACCGTTGATTCCTTGTCTCTTATGGATATGCACTGCGACTATGATGGAAACACCCCTAATTAGTAGCCTAATACGACATGACGTCTGGTCTGGTAGTCTTAGTTTCAGCTTCATAGCAACAGGTCGCCCCATCTTTGCTCCGCTCCTGTGCCAACGAAAAACACCCAGAATGTTTATCACAGTCCCTTGTGGAAAGACTGACAGACGGCTGTCTCAGCATATCTAGCATACACTCGCATTAAAGCATACGGTAGCCATCCGAAGTGCTAACACAAACAGTCCAACATTAGAAATGCAGTTCATCATTGATGATAGCAGAACTTGTCGCCAACAGTTCAGCAGTTGTCCACGCGATCAATTTTAACCAGATACGGGCACCGCCAACATTGCACGCCATTTTCTGAATCTACAATTCACACCACCACGTTGGTCACAGTCGAAAATACATTCCAAATGCAATCCGCAGCTCACAGTGTCACGCCATGCATTAAACTCAGAAGATGGGCGACGAAACTATATCCAGTCTACAAATGGAGCAAAAATACTTCGGCCACCGTCCGGCAGAAGCAAAAAATTTGCCTCTGCTTCGAACAGCGCCGCTGTCTAGCGTCCATTTTAACCTGAAGTTCCCGACATGACGTAAGGGGGCAGTGGGTCAATCGCTTGTTCTCCAAAACGGAGCCACATAGCCCACACAGGGACACCAAAAGAGAAAACGACTACTCAACATCCAGGAAGATTCAATAATAACGAATACAAAGGTTAGGACTATGAGAGCCAGGGCACTTTGAGCAGTATGACCATCAGATGGTAGACACGCTAAAGGAATGGTATGCTACATAGATTTTTCCAGCGTGTTTCCGTTGCTTTTCCAATGTGCTTTCTGCTGGCTACCTTTCTGTAGTAGTAGTAGTGGTAGTAGTAATAGTAGTAGTAGTAGTAGTAGTAGTAGTAGTAGTAGTAGTAGTAGTAGTAGTAGTGGTAGTAGTAGTAGTGGTAGTAGTAGTAGTAGTAGTAGTAGTAGTAGTAGTAGTAGTAGTAGTAGTAGTAGTAGTAGTAGTAGTAGTAGTAGTAGTAGTAGTAGTAGTAGAAGTAGTAGTAGTAGTGGTAGTAGTGGTAGTAGTAGTAGTGGTAGTAGTAGTAGTGGTAGTAGTAGTAGTAGTAGTAGTGGTAGTAGTGGTAGTAGTAGTAGTAGTAGTGGTAGTAGTGGTAGTAGTGGTAGTAGTAGTAGTGGTAGTAGTAGTAGTGGTAGTAGTAGTAGTAGTAGTAGTAGTAGTAGTAGTAGTAGTAGTAGTAGTAGTAGTAGTAGAAGTAGTAGTAGTAGTGGTAGTAGTGGTAGTAGTAGTAGTGGTAGTAGTAGTAGTGGTAGTAGTAGTAGTAGTAGTAGTAGTAGTAGTGGTAGTAGTGGTAGTAGTAGTAGTAGTAGTGGTAGTAGTGGTAGTAGTAGTAGTGGTAGTAGTAGTAGTGGTAGTAGTAGTAGTAGTAGTAGTAGTAGTAGTAGTAGTAGTGGTAGTAGTAGTAGTGGTAGTAGTAGTAGTGGTAGTAGTAGTAGTGGTGTAGTAGTAGTAGTAGTAGTAGTAGTAGTAGTAGTAGTAGTAGTAGTAGTAGTAGTAGTAGTAGAAGTAGTAGTGGTAGTAGTAGTAGTGGTAGTAGTAGTAGTGGTAGTAGTAGTAGTAGTAGTAGTAGTAGTAGTAGTAGTAGTAGTAGTAGTAGTAGTAGTAGTAGTAGAAGTAGTAGTGGTAGAAGTAGTAGTAGTAGCACTAGTAGCTGCAGTATATGATAATAATAATAATAATAAAAATAATAATAATAATAATAATATTAATAAGGAGAAGAAGAAGAAAAAGAGGAAGAAGAAGAAGACAAAGAGGAAGAAGAAAAAGAGGAAGGAGAAGAAAAAGAGAAAGAAAAAGAGGAGGAAGAAGAAACAGAGGAAGAAGAAGAAAACGAGGAAGAAGAAGGGGGACGAGGCAGAGACAGCAGTAAAATGAGAGGAATGATGTGGAGAAGTAGGAGAAGTAGGAGGAGGAGAAAGTAAAGTACAGTAAGACTTCGATTACCGTCACTCGTTCTGTTATTCGTCATCGTCTTAAAAAAGAATTGCGCAACATCCACCATCTTTAAAATTATCCAGAGAAAACTTTTACTTTTAACTGTATAAAGCTGGAAATTATTTACTGTTTGCAAGGACAAAGGAGACAAACACAACATAGACCTACACTGAAAGCCACAGCCCCAAGGACACAGAAGGAGATGGTGTTGAAATAACGTCGGTTTATAGTATTACAATACATTTATGTACTCATGAAGTTTACGCTGATCGTTTTGTTAAGCTGTATACACCATGTTTGTTTTATTCACTTTTAAAGGATTTTTAGTCAAATTTTCTTCCCAAACCTGCAGTAAAATCACGATATTGTGCATATGTATAAGAGATTTATGTTATACATCTACTCTATTATCCATCAAAGCCTCGGTCCGGACGGTGACGGATAATCGAAGTTTTACCGTACATATGACAGCCTATAACATTTTACCATCCATACCTCATTATTTGCCATAATATTTGTTTAGGCAAACGAAGGTTTTTTTTTTTTCTTTCGACGAACACAACCAACCCACTCCAAACCTCTTTCAAGTGTTGCAGCCACAGAGTGTTAATAATCAGCCGACGTTAGATGGCATTCCTAGCACGGGTGTTCGACTTCTCCATCCAGCAACTCTAATTCGAGTGGGGGCGCAAACGTGTGCTGTAAAAGCTAGCGAGCCGATGATTACTCACCCGCAAGGTAAACATTCTGACCAGTTGTTGTTGGCTGCATGCACAGGTCGGCTGCAATGGAAGCGATTTGTGGCAATATGGGATAAACACCGTTAACGTTCCTTTTTTTTAACGCTGCTTTTTTTTAAAAATAACATAAGGTTATTTGGGTATCCTTTGCAGGACGTTGCAGAACCAACCCCAACAGCCCCTGGGTGTTGTGTTTTTATAACATACATCGACAATATATGCAAAGAAACAGAGAGCGAAGAAAAGGATGAAATCTCAGAATTGTTATTAGCACATGACCAGGTATTACTATCTAAAACAGAAGAGAGCTTACAAAACCATATAAATCA